CACATATCTACATAAATATGTATGTGTGCATGGATATGAAATGCAGACCTTCGTTTTATTGAGTTTTCTTCTAGTAATACATCCATACATATTCTTGTTCTATTTACATGTTTATATTTTTGGTTTCTTATTAATATCCTTATAATGGCGAATCAAAACATTTAAAATAAATAAAAAATTTATATGTATTGTTTTTTCTGCTTTTCTTTACTCTCAGTCTTCACCAGACGCCCACTTTTCTCATTAGTCAATCTTATCCCCACTAAGTTCCATTTATTAGATATAAAAATATAAACGCAATCATTATAATAAAATAACATGCAGATACACCATTATACTGAAAAGTGTACTCTTGGAATATACTTTAACTACACGTATGCATGTACGTAATTTACGTATATGTAGATACATACATATATGGTTCCACCATAATTCATATATTTGCATTTGCTTGCATTACTTACATATACATATGTACATAGTAGGGAAGCCAAAATATCAGGAAAATTGGGATCCCGGGATTTCGGGATATTTTTTTTGTAATCCCGGGATCCCAGGATTTATCCCGGGATTCAAATTGAGTCATAAATTTTATGAATATGAGTAAAAATTCAATATCTGAAAGCATTTAAACATACCTTTAAATAAAACTATTTAAAATTTACGATAAACTGATTGTAAAACTCATATATCGCTAGCTTAGAGTGAAAAGTTTCTAACTTCACTTTTAATGAAAAATCATATTTTGATATAGGAGGCTAGATAAATTAAAATTGCATCGTTTCGAAAAGGGTAAAGGTCCTTGTTTTATGTTTTCTCGTTTATATTCAATGAAAGGAAAATTTGCTAAGGCCAAAAAAAGCTCCGAAAATTCGATAAGGCCAAAAAAGTTCGAAATCATTTAATAAATATCGAATCCCTCCGATTCGTACGGAGTTTTGCTTTGCTTTAATCAGGCAAAATGTTGTATTCAAAGTTTTGCGAAATACTTGAAGAAAATGGCTATACGAAGTTTTTTCCTCTCCTGTACAATTTTTAAATTGGGACTTAGCATCTTTGCACTCTACGCTAGCGATATTTATTAAATCAGACAAATTTTAAAGTAAAACATTTTTTTAATTGTATTTAAAAAAAAACATGTGATTGAGGAACGTATACATCACAAATAATAATGTAAATACCAGGTACTTTTGAAAGTGACGATTAATAAAAAAACATAAAACAAAAATATACAAAAACGATTTCTCTAAACATGTTTATTCTACTCTACAAAAAAATGCCGAATGGAGAATTTTTTGCCATTTTTTTCGCAACTTACTAGAAATTATGAGGGTGTACGAGTCAAACGGATCTCAGAATCGGATTCAGCGGTTCGAAATACATGTTGGTAGTTGGGTCTGGTTAAAAACACACACCCCTTTTTTTGCCGGTGTTGTTATTATTGCACTTAAAATGCTTTCGTAAGAGCAGCAAAGCATTCAAAGCGGAGTCTTCTAAGATTGACCAGCAGTTTTTACATACAAAACCTACTGATGAAAAACATTTTGGCATCAACACTTCTGGCGGAACTGTCAAAAGGAAGACATAATCCATATTGATGCCTATCTCCTCCATTACAAAATATTTGAACTTCCTTTACCAGCACGTCAAATTATAAGTTTTTCGATTTGACGAAGATTTGAGTAGACTATGTTTCAAAAAAGGCTCAGACTGCAATTTAAAAGTACAGTTTCAAGTTTTTTGTTGACTGCAGTCAAAACGGCATTTCACAAAAATCATACTTCAAAATTCATAAACAAATTCTTACTATCAATTCGATATTTCAAAATTTTCGGGATCCCGGGATTAATGCAAGCAAATCCCGGGATTTACGGGACGTCAAAAACACCGGGATCCCGGGATTGGCATCCCTAGTACATATGTATGTACGCTGTATGCATAACAAAATGCATACCCAAAACAAACGCGAAAAATATCTCCCCGTCGTTGAAAAATTTTCGCGAAAAGTTTATCGCGATAAGCTGTTGTGAGTGATCGCGAATGGATTATTTGCATCGTTTTTCTTATTTATGAGAGGCCGACATCGGCAATGCTCGGACTTCTCATATTCGAGTGAGAGGAAATTTCTTTGCTTTTTGCGATCGCGAATGAAAAGCAGCGAGAATTTTTTTGTCGATCGCATTCCGAATGTGAGAGATGATAAATTTGTTTGCATTTTTCACTCCCGATAAAAGAATGCAAAAATAGACTTGGAATATTATCGATCGCGATAAATCTCGCCTAAGAATGAAAACGAATAATCATAAATGAGAATTTCCGAACCCTGATAGCTGGCCGTGTGAAAAGCATGAAATT